AATCAAAACAAGAATTCAACAACTAATTCAAAGAGTTGAAACTAATCACGCCAGAATTTCAGCAGAACAGTGGTCGTTTTTGACACGCAAAAGATATTAAAAAGGTTACACAGAAAAGATGTTAAAAGGCTACACAGAAAAGATGTTAAAAGGCTACACAGAAATATCCTCAGTGTATTTAATTTAATTGTTTAAAAAATAGTTTTTTATCCTATATTATAGAAGAATAATTTTAAGATTTACAGTTAGTATAAATAAAAAAAAATTTATTTTTTTAAAGTAAAAATTTGAATTCAAGTAAATAAAAAATAAGCTATATAAGAGTTAATATTAAAAAATAAAAGTATAAATTAAAAAAATATTTATTGTATAATTATATAAAAAATATAAATTTTAATTTAATTAATTAATCAACTAAAACTACTTACATAATAATAATATTAAAATAAAAATTAATTTTTATAATTTTTTTATATAAATTAATTAATCTTATAAAAAATATTTATTATATATTTAATATGTGTTTTAAGAATAAATAACGTAGACAAACTCTGGTTAAAAATAAACAATAATTATAGTATTAATTAATAAAATAATTAATATATATTAATTAACGATTTGACATAAACGACTACGATAAATATATGTAAAATAAGTGCAACTAAACAAAATCTCACATGGCCTTAAAGATTTTATTGTGCGGCAATAATCATAAGCCAAATTCTGTTGAGTCATCAGAAACAAATTGAGAACGTACCTCTGAGAGGGACATCCAGAGATATACCGGCGACCAACTGGCTGTCATTTGTAATCCCATTGATGTTCAGTAAAGTCTGACTATCGGTCCCAAACTGCTGTGCAATCGCCTCCACCGAACTGCCCGCCTCCACCACATGCGCATAATGCACCACCTTATCTCCGCCCACTTCATCACAGCTACACGGCAGCGGGATCCACAGCTTCTGCCCAATATCTAATATATCCTGGTACGAAAGCGCATTCGCAACCACAATTTCCTCGTACTTTAATAACCCAGAGAACACGGTGGTAGCTATGAGGTACAAATAATCACCTTTCTTCGCCGTGTAAATTGGTATATTGTTCGAGACTCCTGTTTAATGGAGTATTTATTAAATGGAGAATATACGACGTAACTTTATAAAAATATAAAACGAAATTAAGAAAAGAGAAATTCATAATGGAGTACCAGTGTTGTTGTAGCACATGCAGGGGATGGGGACTCTGACGGTTTGTTTGGACTGAATGCTGTAGTTGCTTGGCGTGGAGAGAGGGAGGTTGTTAGCGCCGAGGAGGGAGCGTTGGTCCTCGACGTTGAAGAGGGATTGGATGTCGGAGAGGGTGGTGGCGTTGATGGGAGCATAGCCAACCAGGGCGATACATGTCGCCGGATTGCTGCATCTGAAGTAAGATTGAACCGTGGATGTGAAGCTGAGAAGATAGACTAATGGCAGAATTAGGAGAAACCGAGCAAAATCCATGATAATCTGGGGTTTCCAGCTACTACCTGTTGTTTTAATCTGAGGAAATGTAAAGCGGAAAGATGGAATTTGACTTCTTTGAAAGAAGAAAAACTTTCAACTTTGAACTTTGCGTGGGGGACTTGGATCTTTCAGTTTCAGATGCACTGGAGGGAAGATTTTGATGCCCTGCGCCCACGAGGAAACAGTAACGGAACTGTGATCTAAGCTCTCTGTTATAGAAGCCGTTATCTATTAGTTGAGTATATTGTCATGGTTGGTGTAGTTATCCTTTTAAATAAAAATAAATATATTTACTAATAATTATAAATATCAAGGGTGACGTGAATATTAAAATTAAATTTGATTAAGTTATATTGATCTGAGCTTATTGTGAACTTTTAGATTAGTTATATCTAATTTTTTTATATAATTTATATCTTATTGAATCAAAATCAATTTGAAATACCCCAAGTATTCCACAGGGATTAAGAAAATCGTTTTCATCCCTGGGACCCTTTTCCCAGGGACTTTAATTTGTTACATTTTTTCTGCAAAAGCCGGTGATTAAGAAAATCGTTTTCACTCTAATGTATGTAAGCTATGGCTTGGAATACCCACAGTATTCCACATTTAATAAATTCTTTTGCTTTTCAAAAAAAAAAAATCAATTTGAAATACAAAACATTTTTAAAAAAATTATATTTTTATATTATTTATTTAAAGATTTTAAATTGATATATGCATAAAATTAGTGGTTGATTTAAAAATTAATATAAATTATATTAATATAAACTATTAAGATTTTATTTATCGTATTGTTTTGTGTTATAGTTATAAATTTTTTTATTTCTCATTATTTTAAAAATATATAAAACATTAGTCAAAATTAATAAAAGTATATAAAATATTAAAAATAATAAATTTATATATTTATTTAATGAGATGTGTAAACAAAATTTGTACAAAATATAGTTAAACAAGGCCTTAATTAAATACCTCATAAAAAATTTTTGAATTTTGCCTTTAACTTAAAATTTTGGCTCCCTTCTTGGCAAGGAGCCATGGGAAGGTTTTTAAAGCATGAGCTTATATATGCAACTAGCTTCTGTATTGATGTCATATGAGTAGATAAACTAATCCTTTTTATATTATGTGCGGGCTTTATGCCTTGTTGATATCATATATGAATCTGTGATAGAGGAAGATGGTTACTAGAGCTTGAGCAATAGAGAAGAGAAGGACGTAACAATTTTTTTGTCTCTTAATTCCTAATAATCTCACGGCAGCATCTTCATCCTAAAAATATCTAAAATTAGCTTGGATTTAAGTTACCGTTAAATTTGTCCTTAAATTCAAATTTCAAAAAGTTTTATTCTTGTTTAACCATGAAACAAAAGTTGTTGGCTTAAGTTCCTCTCATAATATTATGATTATTATTTTGAGTTTTGACCGGAAAGGATTGGGTTGAACTGAAAATTTCAAAACATCAAGGCCCTATCTGCACAAAACAAAACCAAAAATTTAGGTGATCAGGTTGGAGGTTAAAACATTTTTTGAATTCCATGGAAGCTGTTCTAACCTGGCAACTTGTAATTTTCTATTATTCTTTATATTTAGGAAAAATATTGGGGCTAACGAAAGAAAAAGTTTTCCAAAGAGTAACTGACCTACGGAGCTTTATACATTGTACGTTGTTGTGAACATTAATCAGACCAAGCAAATTAACTTTAATTGGAATTATATCATCATTATCATCCTTTTTCTACTAAATATGTTCAACAGAGATCATATTGCAAAACTACCATAATTCAATCGCCCTCTAGATACAGTTGAGGAACTAGTTTTGGCTCACAAGTGAAAAAATTGCTGTTTTTCATTGACTGATTGGAAGAACAAATCGAAGGAGTGTTATTCATGGAGAATAGGGATGATTTCACAGTGGTGCATGAAGACTAGAGGATTAAGAAAATACAGGGGAAAATATGCTGAACTTTTGAATACCATCTGCAGGGGATGTTTGACTTCTAGTAACAGAACTATGCTTTTCTGTTATAAAAAATGCAGCAGACACCATTTCTATGTATTTGAAGATACGTCATCAAGTAGTGAATTCGTCTCCAAAGTTCTTGGAACCCCCTGCAAATCATCTCAAACATATGGCTATGAACATAGTAATCAAATTGAAGGCAATTGTACATCCAAAAAAATTTGATACATTTATTGCACTAAATCATATTCAAAATCAGAGAGTATGGTGTAACCTGCATTATGACTGATGATGTGGTGTTGGAGATTTGGGGTGATATTGCTGCAGGAGAAGACAACAAAGGTTCTGGTGGAAGTGGCAAAGCTTCAAGGCTTCCTTGTAACATCTCAAGTACCTTACTCATTGATGGTCTGTTTGATGGAATTGTTTGAATGCACCAAAGGCTCACTATTATCATCTTCCTAGTCATTTCTTCTTCCTCATCAGCTATGATTCTGTCAAGATTCAATTTTTCTGATTTTTCAAGCTGCTTATACAGCCACGTTGGAAAATACATTTC